TTTACGACCACCAATATTACCTGAAATGCCTGAAGATTATGCACAAATGATGCAGAGGTGTTGGGATGTGGATCCATCAAAAAGACCAACTTGTAGAGAGCTTTGGACATTTGCTTATGATAAAAATAGCGAAATTATTAATGATGATGATAGTAATAATGCTACCAGTAGTGGTAGTAGTACTTTGCAACAAGTACACAAATCACATCCAGATGCATATCATACAAGTAGAATATTAAATGAAGAGATTGCTAAATCTAAAAGATTGAAACTTTATACAAGTAATAGTTTGTTAAATAATCTTGATTTTGACTCTTTTCTCTAAATGTTAACAAAGGTGAATAAAATTTTCATTATTAATTAATTGAAATTGTTACCCGTTACTAACAATATTTTTTAATTAATAATATTAGACTAGTAATTTATACTTAATAAATTTATTCATTATAATTATTTATCTTTTTATTTTTATTCTTTCTTATTTTATTTCTTATAATAATAATACTTGAAATAATAAGCTTTTGATTCTTGTTAAATGGCGACACTGCAAGGATAATTAATAATCATGGCCTAACTTTTGGGCTACTCAGTTAAATTGTTTTGCAAATAAATCAAAGCAAGTTTGCAATCAGCCAATAAATGTGAACAACTGAAATAAATTGATCACAAGTGAATAAAAAGAATTTTATAGCTTTGTAAAAGGGCCATATTTATTTATTTATTTACAGTTATTTGATACCGTTAAGTGTGCTTACAGATTAGTCTAGGTCCAATAAAGAGACAGTGATTGAGAATTCATAAACTAATTAATTGACAAGCACCAAATTGTTGTGAATTGCTTGCAATTAACTGACTTGTTTAACAGCTTTACATTTACGACCACAACAATACCATCAGTATTTCCAATTAACCTTGAACAATACTTCCTAACCTTGCCTGCTTGCTCACTAAAGCAAATAACATGGCTTTTACCAAAGCTTCACAGTTGTTACTTTTTACCAAGACACTAACTACACTTTGTTGCTTTTATTAAGGCGTTTTAAACAAAGAAAATAAAGACAATGTTTTTATTTTATTTTATTTTTATTTTTATTTTTAAAAGTTTATTAACGATTAATTTTTATTTAATAAAAGTAATGATTCTAGAATGTTAATTATTCTTTTGCTTAGACCAGAAATTATATGAAATTTTCATTGATCACTACAATAGGATAAAGATGGGTTTGTTGTTGCAAGATAACTTTATCAATCTTCCATAATTATAAGAAAGTTCTGCATTAAGATTATACTTGGAATATATATAAATTACCGAATTATCTACCCCGATCATGTTATTAATATCATTAAGAAATGTTCGGTAGATGAGTGTGTTTATTCAGCAAAAGAAAAACTTAACTACTTGAGAGCAACTAATGAAACAAAGGAGAGATCGGGGTACACAAGAAAATATAAAAAAAAAGACTTCGGATATATATTTATAAGTTTTTTTGTGAGCGAGCTTATATATTTTATTAGCTTTTAAAACAATTTTACTTACGTCATTTTTGACTTAACGGCAGTGAATTTTGGTAACATTTCGTCAAACAACATTATCCCGCTCATCTGGATTTATGCTCGCCAAATTCGCCAAATTACCCTCTTGCTCATTTCCCACAACTCCTTAACAACTTTTTCAAACAACATTCCTTTTTTTATGGTCATTCTTTCATTTCCTGGTGACGCCAAGAACCTTTTATTTATTTATTTATTTTTATTTTTTTTTGGAAAAACCACTTGATTCAACGAATACATCCTCAAGTTTCTTTAGTGCTGCTCGATTTTTTTGATGATAATGACGTGACGATAACAACACTATAACTGGACCCATAAATCTTAACTCCAGGGTCCCCAAGTGCAAAAAATATTCTAATCGTTGAAATAGCAGCGCTTTTTGGATTATCCTTATGTTAATATAACTAATATAATTTTAGGAATATCCTAGTTTACCTAGAGTTGATAGGATACGATTAAGCTTGTCCTCCATAATCAAATATCAAATGTTGCAACTTTACATATACATAGTGTTGCGACATAATCACGATGCAGTTAAACCAACTTTCTATTTATATTGTAAAAAACATTATTGTTATAAAACATTTGATATTTATTAAAATGTACAGTAATTATTAAACAAAAAATTTGAATTCATTCATCTATTTATTATCTAATTGCTACAAAACAGCATGTCAACTGCATCTCCATTTTCATCTATATCAACATCATCTATATAGTAAATTATTTTTAATTTGTTCTTTTTTTTCAATAACATGCAAATAGAATAAACTTGTTAATATCCATGATTAAATATTTGATGAAAAACAGGGTTTCTACAAGGGGGAAAGGTAATGCACACACAATAAACATCATAACTCAAACTTTGTTGATTTGTTTATGCATGATTCTTCTAAATTAACTGAACAAGAATAACCATCAATATGACATTGTTCAGAATGTTCAGAAGTTTTTCCTTGTTTAGAAAAATGTTGAAAAAAACATTCAATCACTTCTGAAAAAATTGAAACAATAAAACATTGATTAATATGACTAATTGGTTAATTAGACAATGAATTATTAAAAATCATAATTAAATTTTGCTTTAAAAATGACTTCAACCTCTGCACCTTCATCCAAAAAAAGAAGTTCTTTAAGTGCTTTGCAAAAAAAAGAACTATGTAAGTGTTCTAAAAATGACCCTAGCTTAACTCAAGATAAATTAGCTAAAGATTTTTGAAATTAGTAAAAGCACAGTTTCAGTAATTTTATCAGAATCAAACAAATGGCTTTCTGTTGATGAAACTGTTTCAACTTCTCAATTTAAAAAGAATCAGCAAGCAAATTGGCCACAATTAGAAGAAACTCTAGCAATCTGGTTTGATGAAGCTAAAAAACATAACTAAAGAAGAGGAGGAGGTGGTGGTGGTGGTGGTGGAGGAGGTGGAAAATAATATTATTCATATTAATACTAACAATGCATTGAAAAGTTGCATAAACCTTCTTACTTATATACAACAAGAACAAGTACCATAGTTTATAGTGGATGGTCGCTTATTAGTTAGTTTACAAGAATTAAAAAAAAAAACAATAAGTCAGAGTTTTAGAGAGGCTAAACAAATTATTTTAGATTTTTATAAAAATAAAAACTATTATAAAATCATATGATAATAATTCTCACGTGACTTTTATATGAACTCGTGTCATTATAACGGGCCCAAATTTCGCACTCTGCGCCCCATATAAACAAATTTAGTAATAAAATCATGTGATGGTTGATAACGAAGATCTTTGTTTTCTTTTTGTCAAAAAGATGAATTTTTTTAGTTCTAAAACAAAAACTATTAAAACTTACGGAAAAGATAAAAGGGAAAGAGTCGTAAATATATGGGAAAAGGATTTAAGATCTAAACAACAACAACATTATCAAAAATCACAAGAGGAAAAACCACAACCACAACTACATTGTCAAAAATCACAAGAGGAAAAATCACAACAACAACATTATCAAAAACCACAAGAGGAAAAACCATCACCCTTACAGCATTATCAAAAATCACAAGAGGAAAAACCACTACCCTTACAACATTATCAAAAACCACAAGGGGAAAAAAACATTGAACGCTTATCAAATGATGCTACAATCATCAGAACTCCATTATCACCCAAACCATTATTTACCAATAACAATAATATTATTATTACTAATAATAAATCACTAACGAATGAAGATATTGCTAAAAACAATAACAATAACAATAATGCTGAAAAAATTAAAATTAATAATACTAGTAGTAATATTAATAACTTTCTTAATAATTCCTCAGATCCTGAATCATTATTAAAGCTCTTAAATTTATGTGGTCAAAATGCAATCTATACATTTGAAGAATTTCTTGGTAAAGAGTAAGTTAGAATATATATGCACATAAGAATACAACCAATTATTTAGATATATTTATTTAATTTTTTGTTTATTAAAAAGTTGTATTCATAATGCTGTAAAGATTGGTGAAGCAAGTTTTTCAGAGGTTTTTACAAGTTATGTGTCAAAATTCACTTCAAGCAAGATGAAATCTGTTCTAAAAATAATTCCATTTGGGAGAGGGAAAGAAATATTGATTAATGGTGAAGAGCAATCAAGTATAAAAAACATATTACAAGAAATTATAACTACATTGAAATTATGTGGAAGAAATGAAATAGCATCATCATCAAGGGTTGGATTTTTGGAATTATACGGGTGATTATTTAAAAAATTTTATATACTGTATAATACATATACATATACGTTATAATTACAATTTATAATTTATTTAAATTTGTAGTGTTGGAATTATTTATGGTAAATATCCTGATCAATTGATAAATCAATGGGATGCTTGGGATGAAAAACATAATTCAGATAATGATCGCCCTGGTAAATTTTTTTGTCATTGTCATCGTTATTATTGTTTTTTGGATATTACTATATTATTAAAAATTGTTTTAAAAAGATTATTTTGATGATAAACAATTGTATGTTGTAATGATAATTGAATATGGAGGTCTCGATTTAGAACATGTAAAGTTAAAGAACTGGAATCAAGCTTGGAGTGTTTTAGCACAAGTTGGGTCCTGTATCGCTCAAGCTGAACAAGTAAAAAATATATCAAATTATTATTTATATAATTTGTTTTATAATTTAATTTATATAATTTATTAATATATATATGCTTTAATTAGTTATTCAGATTTGAAGTAAGCTCATTTTTTTATATAATTATTCCTTGTGCGCGCAATAATAGGATTTAAATATCTTCTATGATTATCTATGTACTAATATTATTATGATTATAGCACAGAGACCTTCATTGGGGAAACATTACTATTAAACCTACAAAATGTAAAAATATTTCATACAATGTGACATCATCATCACCACCATTGGATATAAATATTCCTACATATGGTATAAGCGTATGGGTAATTGATTATACATTGTCACGAATTGAACATGGTATGCTTAAATTTTTTTATTGTTTGACTTGTTGCTATTATTAGAAATATTATTTAAGCATTTCTTTTAAATTAAATATTAAGATAATGAAATAGTATATGTTAATCTTTCGGATGAAAGTTATTTTACGAGTGAAGGTAACTTATTGATATTACATATAAATATACATGTTGCGTGCCAAATCCATCCATTTTATGTTGTAGAATTTAAAATACACACAATTTTGATTTTCACATACATAATAATATATATTTATATTTTTAGGTGATTATCAATACGATATATATCGTATGATGAGAAAAGAGACAAACGGTGATTGGAAATCTTTTAATTCCAAAACAAATGTATTTGTAAGTTATTGTGAAGTGATTGATTGATAAATTTTATGTAATATATACTTTTTATTTCGTCTATACTCATTATATTTTCTTTTTAGTGGCTTCATTATCTTTCAGACAAACTTTTAAAAGAAAAAAATTTACCAATACCAACTAGAAATAATAATCAATACAAATATTATAATTCAGTAAATAAATTTCACAATTCTGTGTTGAAAAGAAATAGTTATAAAAGTGCCATGGAAATAATGAAGAATGAAGAGTTCTGGAAATTATAGGAACTATAGAGTTTTAGAATTATTTAAATCTTAAAAATAAAATATCTATACACACATACTGTTTATATTATAACACATGATTAATTGTTCAATGCAACCTTTTAGGTTAAAATTTATTCATCATCGTCATCCATTTATCAATCCCACTTTTGATCTGGTTGTGATTTATAATCATAGGCTTCACATTAATCTGTTTCATTTCTTTTTCATCAAAACAAGAAAATATAACTTTTTAGATAATAATGTATTCTATCACCCGTACGTATCATAAGAAATCAAAATTCCTTCTACATTATTTAATAACCATTCATTCATCATGATCCATATTTACAACCATAAATTTTATTTAAATGTCATTCGTTTATAAATATAACCATCATAATAACTAGTTAATTACTTTGAATTTATGAGCTTTTGTATAAATATTTAGTCTTTTTTCAATTATTCCATCCAAACCGTAAATCATGTGTAAATTTAGACATGGAATTGAAATTAGCAATCAAATATGGTAATGTTTGGGTGAAAAATTCCCTAATTTCACAATAAATGCTTCAGAAACTGTAAATTTATATTTGGTAAATCAATATTTTCAATTCGTTGTTGACATTATTTTCCTTGAATAAATAAAAATAACGTCATCAAGCTGTATTAATATAATAATAAGGTAGAACAAGTTGTTGGAACAACATTCTGATATATCTTTGTGAGATAGTAGTATAAATATTACAGTGACCATTAATTACTCGATGGATTAATCTCAAACAGATCAGCTTCACAAAAGATTACAAGGACAGCCTATATATATTGTAGCATAATAAATATAATTATTTTTTATTTAATCAATGATTCCTAATTCTTCAAGATGCTTTGGAATGACTATATATGAATCTTCACAATACCAAATTTTTATTAGAAAAAACCAATTCTCAACACAGAGTTCTCTCTCAGCTGATCATGTATCATCGATCGCTTTTCAAAGTCTTTATGAAGGCGATTTATCTGCTGCTCATTTTCAATCATCCTGGAAGGAATCCGTTGAGTTAAAGATGTTTTGAATTAGGTGCATATCTAAATACATCTGCAAGAAAAGACCTTTCCGACACTATTCTACAAGGAACACAGGACTAAATAAAAAGGATGAAATAAAACCATCTAAAGAAATGTTAGTGATGATAGTTATACTTGTATTAATTTTTGCTAGAGAATTTATTAAATACTAATAACCTTATCTACATATTTATTTCATTAGCTAAAGAATTATACATAAGCCTTCTATTTACAAAAATAGCTTTATAATGAACATGTGTCATAGAATTAACCATCAATGTGTTTAGGCTTCAGGTAAGAATCAATTCACTTCGCTCTAAAAGATTTGCTATTTTGTATATTTTCAACATATGCATACTTTCCAACGGTAACATCGCATGAAGTATCCTTCTGTAATATCCTCGGTTTTATCCATTCTTTTTCTGGGTCATCAAGAGTAACATCTTCACCCATTCTCAGTTTCCAAGCTACATCACACATCCGCCGGAGTCCAATATTACGATTCCATCCATTTGGACCATCCCAGTTCCGTCGAAACTCTTTTGATATTAATGTTGGGTCATATCGAAAGTCAACATATTTTTGATATTCTTTTGGGTTTTGGATAAGGAAGCGTAGGTAGAGAGCAAGATCACGCGGGTGTGGAAAGTCATCAAGTAAGATGGCAGAATGAGATGTGGGGAGGAAAGGATCGTAATTTCTAGGACCTGCTACGATGGGGACAACTCCAGCCGCAAAGGCATTCTGTCATGAACAAAAAGAAAGAAGATCATCTGAGTTAAAAGGAAAATGCAATCTTTGGTGATTTCCTCAAGTTCTAACTCTCTGATGTTTCGAAATTAGCATCAGCAAGAAAAGCATGCATAAGAACGGGGGAAATAATACAAACTTGGAGCTTTTCAGTAACATAATCGTCACAATTGGAGTTCTCGATTGCTAGATAGAAAGGATGGCGAGCTATATACTCAATGGTTTGATAAGCTAAAATGTTGTGCAAGATGAACGAAGACAAGTTAAAATTAATTTCCAGTGATTACTGTAAGAGATTCTGGTCAACAAACTTACATGGAAATGGAGATTTGTTGTTCAAACATGTTCCATAGTTTGCAACTTCAATGTAGTTCATAAGCTCCTTTACATACAAGTGCCGTAAGTTTATTGCATGACAGTTGCTTGCTATCCATGCTACTGGCTCACCATTTGGTAAAAATGAAGGAGGTGACTTTTTTAACTGTTCCATGATGTTGGTATCATAGTAGACGAATGGAAAATTTGAATCGAAACGGTAGTTCATGCTATTCCATAATTATTAAAAAGAAGTAAGATAGTAAACACTCAATCAGTATGAATTTCAAAAGGCAGCATTACAAGCGACATCAAATTTGTGTATCCAATACCTATAGTTAAACAATGCATACAGCCTCTCTGATTCGTTGAGTTCGACTAAACTTTCAGCTGTATAAAGTACCCATAACTGATTACTCCTCCTAGGCGGTAGATCGTTCATGTCCAAATCCGGTTTATGAAATACTGCTATATGTGCCTCATCTTTGGCTTTCTTATAATGCGTAATCACGCATTTATTGACTCCATCCAAGGTCTGCAGCTCGTAGCCTTCCCACCATGACCGAGAATCATTGAAACAGGGGGTCCATAATACAATCGGTTCAACATCCTTGCCGTAAATCGAGGATATGGGGAAAAAATATTGACGGAGACTACAGGACCATGCTTGCTGATTGCAGGATTCGAAGTATTCAAGCATGAAGAAAAAAAGGTAGTTAAATAGGAGGAATGTAAAAACACTAGGTACAAGAATCATCCATGACCGTAATCTTAGTCGGATTCGGGGTATAAATGCATACCTTCTGAGGTAACTGCACATATTAAAAGTCTATTTATTAATTATTTACTTGAAGAAAATTATGATCGACAAAAATCCATTTTGCTAATGGTGTTACACATCAAAAAATTCACTCGCATATAGTTGGCTCGGTCAATTGTCATGTGACCTGTCTTTTGGGACTTTATGGTAAAATGTATGTCTCAATCAATTATAAACTTAGTACACGCATATTTGTTAGTTTATGTAAATTTCAAATTTTTTATTTTAATCGAAAAAATAATAAAATAAAGTAATGATTAATATTTAACTAATTGATAAACTTCTAATTCTTCATATGTGTCATTTTCATTAAATTGAATATCATGACCATTACCAAAAGTAGGTAAATAACTGGGAGTACAATAGGTACCAGATTGATTATTACTAATTACATAACTATAATATTTTGTAGAGTTAGCATCAGTTCTATTACTAATATGAAAGATAAAACTTTCATTTGTACTTTTATGTTGATTTCCACTCCAACTAAGCAGATTATAACCACCAATGATTTGTTCAGTGTTTCATATTTTAGCAATCACAAGAGTTTTGTTGATGTCATCACATTTTTGATGAAATACTGTTGCATTTAAACCATCTCTACTACTACTATATAAAAGCTTAAATTTATATTTGATATCAGTCAATGAAGTATATGTTGTTGGGCTTTTTCTATCAATCCAGCTTGCAAAAAGCAATGTAATCTTTTGATTGATAATGAATTGTTCAATTTTTGAAATTCTGGATGATAATAAATTTAAAGATGGTTGATCTTCAGGAACAATATAATAATTTAAAATTTTTAACCATAATTCCTTTGGGAAAAGCAATTGGTATTGCACAACTTTTGAAGAAATCTCTATTAGAAATATCCTTGAATCAAATTAAATAAATGAATTCTTTTAAAGTGCTTCCTAAATGAGTGAAATTTTGAATCGACAAACAGTCAACATTGTTATTAACACCTAGATGTTTTGCCAATCCCCATTTAAGAATGTTTCCCAGATTTCTATTTTGTCAACAACTAAATCATCCCTTTTAAGAATTTCTAATAAAATTGTTTTTCAAATGAATCATATTCTGTTGACTTGAATAATTTTTCACAATTGGTACAAATTTCTTTTAAGCAAATATTTTTTAGTTTGTCAAATTTGCTGTTTGAATAAATTAATTGAAGAATCTTGATTGGATTTTCTTTGATATATTCCTTTTTATTATTAATAAAGTATTTCATAGTATATTTGTGAAGTGATTCGAGGTCAAGCTCGCCTGCTAAAAATGATTCAAAATCATTAAAGTATTCACTTGGACTTAAATTCCTTTTTACAAAATTTTGTTAATAATGGTAAATAATAAATAGGATAAAAAAAGAGTATAAATATTAGTCATATATCATATATCATATATACAAAAATAAATGTTTGATGTTGGAGTTTGAAAATATGATTATTTTTTTTACTGAATAGTACAAGTAGTGGTAATAACCACCACCATTCTTATCATAAACACTTACTTGTGAATGACACCAATATCCTCTGTTTTTCTTCTTTTTATGTTATGTCTATGATACATTTTTTTTATATTTTTAAGTAATTTTTAAAAAAAGTAAAAAATAAAAAGCAAGCAAAAATGTGTATATATAACATTATTATTGGCACTTGGTGTTGTACAAAGATTTTTTTTTGTCAATGTTGTATGTGAAAATGAAATTATGTGAATTTGCAATTCACATATGTGAAATTCAAATTTACATGTGTGAAATTCAAATCAGCCAATCAGAATTTCACCCCACTCCATAATATTTCAATTTCACATAATTTCAATTTCACATACAACATCAACGCAACCTTTTTTTTGGAAAAACAAAGACATGTTAATAACTAATCAGAGGTACTATTTTTTGTTTGTATTGCAGTCAGGATTATTCCCCGAAATGGAATTTCCTTAAAAGTAGGGATCTACGGAATAGAAAAAATTCCAGAAAATTTTGATCAGCAATTTTATTTTATTATTATTAATAATATATAATTAATCTGAAAATACTTCAACTGTTTCAACAGTATCATATATATTTCTTAATTCTTGCAAAATTATTAATAAGTTTCCCCTGGTTTTATTATTCAAACTACTATATTTTGGTCATAATGTTTCAGGAAGGGAAAGAAGTATAGAATTAATAATTGATAACAACTCTTGTTTATTCATATTTTTTTCATCTTGCTGTGCTGTTTCTTCTTGTTCTGTTATTGGAATAGGATGCCCGGTATTAGTAGAAGCTCCTTGCAATAAGGTTTCTTTCAACAATATATTCCTTTTTTCTTTTGCAAGATGACTAAAATTTTTCATTTTTTCACTCAAAATAACATCATCTTTCAAATTCCTAAAATGGCTTCTTGTGAAAAACTGGTTCTTTCTC